TCACGGCCCCCACAAGGCAGAGCGCCAGCCCCTGCTCCAGGCTCTCCTAGTGAACTGTGACACAGGTGCCTGAAGGGCAGAGGGCAGTGCTCCTATGAGTCTTGAAGTTGTTGGACTTTGAAAGGATGGCTGCCACAGGCATGCAGTGACCCTCTGTGAAGAGGCTTCTCATCAAAAGCCACGAGGAGGACATTCTAAATAAAGACACACACGAACACGTCCACCCCGGCCCTTCTAACAGTGCAAAACTGGAAACACCCCCCAACATCCAAAAACAGGGGGTTGCTTTAGTAAACTACATTATGCCCATACAATGGAGCTTTATATAAACACGCAAAATGGCATTTGCGTGTGATAAAATATTACATGAAGAAAAACAAACGAAAGACATGTGCCTCATGGCTACAACTACACGAACACCCTCCTCCCAGCCTGCAGTGGGTGCTGGGTGGAGCCCCCTTCTAGACCAGGAGAATCGGCAGCTGGCAGCCCTCAGCTGAGCCTCCCCCTCTTGGGTTCACCTGTGGCTGAAGGAGCTGCCTCATCCCAGGTCACACCCCCTCCCAGGCGCAGCCCACGTCCAGCGGCTTGTCAGGGAGGGTGTGAAAAGGCCAGCCCAGCTCCAGGAATCCCCGCGGAGCTGGCTGAGGCCTTCGCTGTGTGTTATGGATTGAATTGTATCCCCCAAAAATATGTGTTATAAATCCTGCCGTACCTCTGGTGGCGATCCCATTTGAGAATGGGTTTTCTTTGTTATGTTAACGAAGCAGTAGGAGTGTTTAACCCATTGCCATGGAGTTGATTCTGACTCAGCGACCTATAGGACAGAGTAGAACTGCCCCACCGGGCTTCCACGGAGCAGCTGATGGATATAAACTGCCGACCTTCTTGGTTAGCAGCCAAGCTCTTAACCACTGCACCACCAGGGCTCCAGTACTGGTGTGGGGTGTGTTTTCAATCAATGTCTTTTGAGATTTAAAAGGGCAGATTAAGCAAGCAGCAAGCAAGGAGAGACGGGGAAGACAGATGTCATGCCACAGGAGATCTCCAAGGAACTGAGGAACAGGAGCTGAAAAAAGACAAGGACCTTCCCCAGAGCTGACAGAGACAGAAAGCTCCCGTCCTCCCAGCCCGTGCCCTGCATTTGGACTTCTAGCCTCCTAACCTGTGTGAGAGGAGCGTTAGAGCTACGGCTGCTAACCAAACGGTCAGCAGTCCTAATCCACCAGCCACTCCTATGGGGCAGCTCTACTCTGTCCTATAGGGTTGCTATGAGTCGGAATCAACTCAATGGCAACGGGTAAACGGTAAGAAAAATGAATTTCTGTTTGTTAAAGCCACCCACTGGTGGTGTTTCCATTCGAGCAGCAGTACAGAGCTAAGACATGGTGCCTGCTTCACAGCCCAGCTTCTCCCGCTGCCCAGTCCCACTCCCTCCACTCCTAGGTCCCAAGCGTGCTTCCCATAAACCTCATGCACGATCACCTATGTCTCCTGCGGCCCAGAAACCCAACCACAAGGCACCCTCTGAATCGATGCGTAGGAAGGAGACCGCGAAGCGCTGCCCAAACATGCTGACGTGAGTCTTTGGAGGGGGATAGCGGGCTGAGCCTGTCTTTTAAATTCACCTTTGACTTTCTTTTTTTAATGAGTATGTATCCATTTTATAAGAAAAAAATATACAAATTAAGAGGATTGTTTTTCTCTCACAGGTTGATTCAATGAGGGTCACATAAGAAAAAAGGAACTTAATTTAAACATCCCTAGGTGGCGCAGTGGTTAACAGCTCAGCTGCTCACCAAAAGGTCGGCAGTTTGAATCCAGCAGCCGCTCCTTGGAAACCCTACGGGGCAGTTCTGCTCTGTCCTAGAGGGTCACTATGAGTCGGAATCGACTCAACAGCAACTGGTTTTCTTTTAAGGTGGTACAGATGCTTTGCTCTTGGCTGCGAAACTAAAGGTTGGAGGTTTGAAGCCACTCAGCAGTCCTGTGGAAGAGAAGGCCTGGTGATCTGCTTCTTTTAAGATGAAAGCTAAGAAAACCCTCAGGTCTTCCCTGTAACACGTGGGGTCGCCACGAGTCAGAATCGACTCGACAGCAACCAACGACAATAACAATTTAAATCAAGATCAGAAAATTCAACACGTACAATAAAACGTACATTTTTATGGCTAACGAAGCGAATTTAACAGATGGGGAGAGAAGAGGGGACAGGCAAAATGAAGCAGGTGAGCAACGGCTGCAGAGAAAAGGGGCAGCGGGTGACACCCAGAAGGACCCAAAGGGCAAGCTGAGGGAGTCAAGGAGGACGGACCCCGAGAAGGAGACCCTGAGGAGAACCCCACGCAGAATGAGACAGAACCCCTGGCCACGCAGGAAGGCACGTGAGAGCAGGAGTGGTCTGGGCCTGGGCTGCTGTGCGCCCCTGGCCAGTCGCTGACCCTCTCTGGGCCTCTGCTCATCTACCAGGTGAGGGACCTGGAGACCGAGGCTCCAGCCTGAGGTCATCCGGTGGGTCTCTGGCTCTGGTCCCCTAGCTAGGGATACTCCCACCCCTCCTCTCCCCATTGCCCACCTTTCCCATCATCCCCAGCACATCTCTGGCGTCCTGAATTCCTTGTTCCAGGTACTTGATGGACTTCTTCACGGTGTGGGGCTTGTCTGAGGTAAGGTCCACCCAGCCCCTGAGCACGTAGCCCTGGATGAGAACAAGATGAGAGATGGAGGTCTTGGTTCTGCACAGCCTGGGCCCAGCCTGCCCCTCCTGCCTCATGTCCCAGCCCTTGCCAACCCACCTGAGACCCTGCCAGACACAGCCGCTTAAGGGCAGCCAGGCTCTCTCATCGCCAGAACTTCCTACCCATTGCTGGATTGCCTGGGAGGCCGTTCCTATCCCTCCCCAACCAGCCCCTTCACCTGATTAACTACTAGTGGTCTTCAAAGCTCAGCCTGGGAGCCCCCTCCTCCAGGAAACCTTCCTTGACCTTTCAGGCAGGGATAGGAAACTTCCCGGCACCCTCTCAACTCTCCACCGCTACCTTTACGGAGGTCCTCTCACCCGCCTTGTAACTGCCTGCTCACTTCTCTGTCTCCCCACAAGTCAGGGAGGGACAGGGGGCAGAGGCCCCTCCTGGTTCTCTCCCGTCCTTAGACCAGCCCGGGGCTGACCTGAGTGCGAACTCCAGGAATGCCCTCCGAGTGGGTGAGCGGGAGCCATTCTGAGCTGACGGGCCCTGTGCCAGCTCCTGTCTCCCTTCACCCAGCCTCTCCTGGCAGACGGAGGCCTGCCCTGGGAAGTAAGACCGGAAGGGCACTCGGAAGACCTCTGCCCTGAAGCAACCCCTGATGGCCCAGACCGGTGTTTCTCAATTCTGTTCATGACTGCCTTTCTAAGCAGCCCTGGTGGTACAAACGGTAAGGCGCTCAGCTGCTAACCAAAAGGCTGGCTGTTTGAACCCACGTGGTGGCTCCGTAAGAGGAAGACTCGGGCGATCTACTCCCGAAAAGATCACAGCCTAGGAAACCCTATGGGGCAGTTCCACCCTGTCACATGGGGTCGCTGTGGGCTGAGATTGACTCCAGGACACCCAACAACAACAAGGAGCCTCTCTAAACAATTTTCTTCACTGACTACCCACGAGCAATTTCAATATCTATCTATTTATATACTATATGACTATCTGTGCTTTATACATAAAGAGTAAGATTTTATTTCCCGCGATAAGGGTGATATCGTGGCGAACGTGTGGCCTAGACTGAGGCTGCGGACTCCACCGTCAGTACTCAAGGCTTTGGGGAAGCAGCGTTCTCTTTGTGAAGCTAGCCTCTCGGAAGGGAGGAGTCCTCCGGCAGTCTCCAACACTTCAGTACGAGTGAAGGGAGAGGGCAGAGTCGCTGCGAATGAGCCTGTTGGCTTCCCTCATGCTTTGACCAAAGTACAGAGACGAATGATGGGCTCCCAGGGGGACACTGCAAGGGCCCAGCCGTCCAGGCCGACTCCTGTTACTTGGGGCTCGACTCTCTCGTCTCTCCCACTCTCTGGGTACAAGCCTCAGCAGTGCCTCTTGGGGTTTCCCCTCTGCTCCCCAGTCAGTGTTCCTAGGGGTTCCACAGGTGAGAGAGGGAGCTTTGCGGGCTTGGGGACGGAGACGCCAAGCCAGTGACAGACCCAAATGCTGACAGGACAGGGACGTCCAGGGGAGTGAGGTGGACTGGGTGTGAGGTACTAGGGACTGGCGGGGACTGGGGCAAACCAGGCATTTGGCTCTCACATCCAGTCCATCACTGCCAGGAGACAATGCGGTCCCAGTGGGGCCAGCTCACGTGAGTTTCCAAAGAAAAAACTCACCAACTAACTAAAGATTTTTTAAAAATAGAGTCCAGGCCACAGAAAATCCATCTACAGATTGGGCTCTGCGGACAACTACTAACGTGTAGCCTCTGCTGAGTCCCGAGACAAGGAGGGTGGGGTGGCTGTGAGACCAGGGGCCTCTCGGTGCCTGGGGGTGGCCTTCTTCCCATTCCAGGGCCTTCCTGGGGCTGCAGGCCACCCTACCGAGTTGTGTCTGCACACAGCTCTCTCTGACAGGTGCCCTCCTCCCCCACCGATGCCCGTGGCACCCACCTCTCTGGAGCCGCTGGAGACTTTCAGCATGCGGTCGATGTACTCCTTGGCTTTGTCGTGGCGGCCCAGGAGCCAGAGGAAGAGGCCGGCGTAGTACAGGGCAGCCCCACTGGCTGTCTTGCGGACTTCCCTCAGGCTGCTCTCCAGCTCCTGGACGGCTTCTCGGTCTGCAAATCCCAGAGGAGAAGAAGGAGGAGTCAGGTGAGGTGCTTCGCCTGCTGCTACAGGGGCACCAGGCCCCAGAGAGCTGCCTCTGGACACTGGGCTTCCCTCACTCAGTGCAGCTGATCACACGTCACCCAAGGCCTGGAAACCAGCGACATCGCCTCTGCGCTGCCACCACGCTGCCCAGGCCTGGACTCGGGTTTGCTGTCCAGTCTTTGTCTTCTCCCGTCTGTCACCCGCAAACACACCAAACTTGAGCCCCAGCCACAAGCCCACGGGGTGGGGAAACTGTTACAGCAGCCCCCCTTATCCGTGGTTCTGCTTTCTGTGTTTTCAGCCACCCTCGGTCAACAGCGGTTCAGAAACGTTAAATACGCGTGTAGCAGGATGAAATCTCACGCCATCCTGCTCCGTCACTCACGTAACTTTGGTTACAGTATGGTGTTATAATTGTTGTATTTTATTATTAGTGATTGTTGTTAATCTTCCATTGTGTCTAACTTATAAACTAAACTTTATCTACGCACATACAGAACAAATCATTGTATATATAGGGTTCAGTACTCTCTGAGGCTCCAGGCATCCTTGGGAGTCTTGGAACGTATTCCCTATGGATAAGGGGGACGACTGTATTTATAATCTCTCTCGGAATTTCTCCCTGGCTCCAGAGAGATGGAGATTAGGGATGGAGTTATCTACAGTGGCTTGATAAGATCTTGGCAGGAGGAGAGAAGGGTGTCTCCCCAAATCTTGCCCCTGAACGGGGGGCCCACGTGCTGTCATGCTCTCTGCCTGTGGCTTCTACTCATTGTGTGGGCCCTCGGGGGTCTTCTTGGAGGCATCCAGAGGGAGGGGAACAGCAGCTATTCCCCACAGACCAACAGCCTCTGCAGACACCAGCGCAGGCACCTCCTTCGGCAGCCCCTGGGGGGCTGTCTCTGCAGGGGGCTCTCTTTCCCCTTGCG